TTTTTTTTTTTTTTTTTTTTGTATTGTTATAGCCAAATTTGGTATAAGAAAAATAAACACTAAAGCTATTCATCTTTTTTCCATTTCTATTTCTTATTGAAAAAAAAAAAAAAGTTGGAAAAAAATTTTTTTTTTTCTGCTAATTTACAGTTTCACTATGGCAATGTGCACAACCATCTATGGAACTGTTGACCATTCATAACGATCTATGTTATACTGCAAGCCGTCTGGAAACATTACATTGGAAAGCAGCTCAAGGAAGATGCTTGAGCCTTGGTGGAACATTACCTATACGAGTAACACATGACACTAACACTGTATTAAGGTACAGATTAACAAGAAAATAGTTATCGATGACCTGACTGACAAATTTAAAGAATATTTCTGTTTATTTATAGGTATGCTCTATCACATTCAAATCTTAAGTCATCATTTTACTGGTTTGGACTCATGAAAACGGGCTATCAATGGCGTTGGGCTGATGGCGATGTTATTGATCCAGATCAACAGGTATCTTTGATACATTTTTTTTCCAAACATAAAATTACAACCTGCTTTGTTCGTAATTCAAAAAGGTTTCAAGAATTAAAAGACCTAGAAAGTGTCCTCTAAAACTGAAAGAATATAACTCTGTTTTTTTTAACGATACTTTGTGGTCTAAAACGAATGTTTTTTTGTGGATTTTTTTGTATATCTTATCTTTTTCAACTGCTTCATTTTGTTTTCTGTTAACAGGATTGGGCAGAAACACCAAATGATGACAATGGTGAAGCTATGGCAGCAGTATTTTCTCGTCCAGAATCTTGGCACTGGATTTCAATGTCACAGTCAGTCTACAATGCCTGGATATGCCAAACAAGTAATTTTTCTTTGGTATTATCTCACGTATATTAACAATAAAATAATACGGTCTTTTTAATCTATATTAATCAAAGAAAAACATTTATTACAACGTAACAGTTGTAATGTTATATATACCTTTTTAGAGATGTATCAAGAAATTACAAGACTCTGGCTGCTTCTTATTTTATCTACATTGAACTGTTTATAGTGTTAATGTTTTATTTAGAACCAAAGTTTTGTACAAGCCCAGGAGTGAGCGAGTTTGGTCGAGTTACATTTTCTAGTCAAAGTTACGCAGTTGGTACTACGTGCTATTATTCCTGTGAAGAGGGTTTTGAGTTGTCTGGGGAATCTCGACGTGAATGTTTAAGCAGTGGGCGATGGTCACATACGATTCCAATTTGTAAAAGTTAGTCTCTCATTTAAAACGTTATTTTATATCTAAGTTGCGAATAAAAAAATGTCAAAAACATGGTGAGTGTAAGAAGTTTGAAGGGGTTACAAATGAAACAGCGTTTGATGCTAGAAGCTTTTTTTTCCTCTAACTTCTTTTCAAAA